TTCCAATCTGACGTTCCAAAACAGGCACGAAGACTGCATTTGAAGTCCACGCTCAAAATTCAGCCATTTTGCCTTTTTGTTTTCTTTTTTGTTTTGTTTCAGAGTGCAAATAAAGATAGAATGGTGTTGAAATGGCATCTACGTATAGATTATGAGAATTCAGATGATGGTTTGTAAAACTAGACTTAATTTAGTCAAGAGGTTTATTGTGTATTAAATTAAGTTTTATTCTAATGTATAGTTTCTTTTTAAAATAACATTGTAGATTTCTTTATAAAGCATCGGTTAGAAAGAGAAAAATCACTCAGAGTGCATATGAATTGCCTCAGAATAAGAAAAACGTTCAACATACCTATTGATTTTGTTTTCCTTGCTCCAGTAGTTTCAGAAAGAAGTGATTTTTGTGGTTAGTAAAATGAAATGCTGGTAGATTGTAAATACCAATAATGGGAAGGGGGGAATCTGTTTCATATTATATTTATTTTTTTATTTTGTTTTTCAATGTATTTCCCCTTCCTCCCCTCAAAGTCCGGTCTTAACTGTTTCTGGAACGGAGTTTCTCACGACGAGCGTGCTTTGGCGGGAAGATGAGGATGTGCTGATTCCTATGGTAGCCTACTAAGGAAAGGGAGCTGGGGTGAGGTGGTCCTTCTTTCCTGGGTGGGGGTCTGGGAGGGTCCTGTGTGTACAGTGTACAGATACTCGCTTGCTTCTACGCCTTTAGCCGGGAGCCCCACCGGAGGAACCCAACACAGCCATAAACTCAACACTGAAGCGTGCTTGCTTTGTTGTGTGGAGTGACGTGCTTCATGCCAGATGCGATCGGTACAAGGTGTGTGTAAGAAAAGACAACAAGCAATACATTTAAATCCAATATAACTTGAGATTTTATTTTGTTTTGTTTTGTAATTTTTGTACAGGACTTTTCAGGAGACACATTTTTGCTCCCCGGTTCAAACAAACTCAGTATTAAAGACAGATTTTTTTATTGAGGTTTCTATTTTGAGAAAAACAACAACGAGATGTCTAAAACTAACCTACTTGTTCCTCAGTGAAAAGCAGGTTTAAGTTCTGGTGTAGCCAAAAAAAAATAAATGAATAAATAAAAAGGCAGCATTTATGTTTTGCGTGGCTATCCTATTCCTACATTCACACTTAATGTTCGCCGTCTTGAAAAGCCGGATCAACGGTTCAGATTTGGATCACTACAGGCACGTGAACTCAACGCTGTAATGTAGGCTACGCAATACAGTTCGTGTTTTCGGACGTTTTTCGTTGCCTATTTGAGGACGAAGCCAAATTTCCTTGCCTTTGAATTGATCGGTAGACTTACACATAAGTTACCACTTTCATTTTGTTTTTGTCTCATGTCTGCACACAGTTTGTATCGGGGTTAGATTGTCAGCCTTTAGCTTTCGCTGAAAATATCGCCATGTCATCTGTGTTTAAGCTGGTGTATTAAAAAAAAACAAAAAAAGTAGGCTACTACATGTTTTTATTAAGTATATACTGTGTGTACCAGCAGCAACTGAGGTTTGCGACGACCAGCTCTGTCATTATGCGCTGAAGGTGTCGTGGTTGTGTACGAATATACCTGGTGTTTTTGGTATAGCTTTAGCTTTTCCTTTTGAACACTGTAAATACGAGTTTGATTTCACATTGTTTGGGTGAAACGTCACTCTGCCCACCATTCAAAACTTTCTGTATCCTTTGAGAATCGCCTGCATTCTCACGTGGGTTAAAAACTTGATTTAGCCTAATAATCGATTCCAGTGCTAGCGTTTGTCGACTAAATCGAGCACTCATTTATTCCGAGCTTTTTTGATCACAATTTTGATGAATGTTGGATGCCTTGAACAAGGACTGACATCCAGACGCATCTATCATATTGGAGAATAGCCAGTTTTGAGGTCGCACCTGTACCACTACCCTCTGCAAAGTCCAAAGATTGTCAAGATTTTGAAATAAATATAAGCCATGATGTGAAGGTGGTGCAGAGTTTTCTAGTCTTTTTATCAGTGCTAGTGCAAAAAGAGCCATTTGTCCTAAAATAAATCAATCAATCAATCAATGGAATTGTAACGGCTATTGAATTTCCTAAAATTGTCTTTACCTTACCTTTTGGGTTTTTTTTCTGAGACTTTAAATGTCTTTTTGTATAGTCTGCCAATTTCTTAGAGCTAAATGCAACAACCTTGAAATGCTACAACTTAGCATATTGCCTTAGATCTGTTTTACTGTCTTGTATATTACAAAAGTTGTCTGTATTATATTTGTATAGTGAACCATTGACAGGATCGACCCAGTTCATTACTGCTCATCTATTGCTGGATACCTACATAGGCCTACCTGTCTCTCTTTCTCTCTCTATTCCCTCACACACCTGCACTCTCTCTCTCCTCAGTCTCAATATTGCTCATTTTCCATGTTTTGTTTGTGATCAGTTGTGGGTTTTATTATTTGTACAGTCTTTTGATTTTGCCCTCTCAGTTATGTGTGAGAATGAAGATGATGCAATGGGAAATCGAAGCAATATGTAATTTATAAGGACTTTTTGGAGAAAGCTTACAGTGTTGCGCTCCTGAGATGTATTCCCCCCCCCCACCCAGTTGTGGTCACAAACAACTCTGTTCATCCGCATCGATGTGTGTAATCTTAGTGTGAGCCTTTTATGCAAAGTTAGATATACCGAGAGAAATTTAAATACAGTTATGCAAGTTGTCAACTATAATATGGCTTTGCTGATGCTATTTGATGTTGAATCAAATTGAATTGTAAATAAAGAATTCTGTTATTGCAACATTTATAATCATCTCACGGCTCATGTTTTCACTTTCCAGAGAAATGTTATTCGTCTCGTCTGTGTGATGCATAGATCTTTGTAAAAGGTTTTGGATATTTAAAAAGGTGGAAAACCTTGTTATGGGATAGTACTGAATCAATAATAGGCTACTATAAGCGCTTGCTGGTTTTGCCAGTACGGGTTAATGGATGAAACGCCAAATACTAATGCAACAAAACGTGTTTATTCCAATGTAAAATTGGCAAAAATAAATAAATAAAATTGAATACACTTATGCCTTGTTTAATAGAATGCCAGAAAACACTGACAATATAGATATTTAGTTGAATTTGTCTCTGCATATTTGTGGTAAGTTGTTTGGTTTAATAATTAATTTTGTTAATAATTTTTTGTTATACGAAAAAAAAAGTAAGCAAAAGTTGCCTTAAACCCACAAAAAATTCTGTAATTTGTAAATATGCATTAATGCGTAGCATATTAGGCCTATTATTTATATTATATAAATTGTATTAGTATAGTAGTATTGCTGGTGCTAATAATGACAGTAACAAATTTTGTTGCTGTAATTTGTGGTAACCTATATTAAGTTTACTTGATATGATAAGTATAAGTATAAGTGGCTCACAGCAGAACTAGTTAATGAATATAAATCATTCATAACAGTAATAGTTATTGTGCTTATTATTTAGAACAATAAGGCCTATGTCTTTAGCTCAAAATGTGTAATTGTGCATAAGTTTTAAATCCTGCACCTTCTTTGCCATTTTATTCAAATAAAGTATTTTTTTCGTAATAAAGCACATCTGGCTGTGAGTAGTAAGTGATAGTGCTGTGATACTTCAGTAGATGCTTCCTCTGTGATGAAACTCCATGCTCATGCACGCAGTTAATTCCCATTATTCAACTAATGCTGCCGATGACTTTCGTTTTCACAAAGAGCCTCTAAACGGAACCCGTGCCGTTCACACCGTCGCCCGGTTAGGAGCGGTTAACAGTGCGCAGTAGTTAACACATTAGAGACTGTGCTGCATATGAAAGAGAGCTGTGAGAGGAGGCTACAAAGTGTTAAAGTGCAATTCCCAGAGGATGAACCCAGGACTGACCAATGACAGCACAGATCCGGGAAAGGCATCCCCTCTCAAGCTTTCCTACACTTAACCATATGTCTTCAGACCTGACTCAAACTTCACACACGCAAGACCTCTGTCCATCTCTCCTGAGTGAAAGGTTCCCCAAACACAAGAGGAGGATCTCAGGACTTGCACAAGTGGTAAGGACATTTGTAAACAATTTCACTAAATATGTTTGTAGTTTTGATGACAGTAATAACTTATTTGTGTTTTATATTGTATTGCCATTATGGATTTAAGCCCACTCTTCATGTGCAATAACCAGCTGAGGTCAGGAGTCTATGGAGCATGACACCTTTAATGCTTTTTAAAAGAGTTGGAAAGGCTTCATTAATGGTGACCTTTCTTGCTGACCCTCTGTTCTTAAATTGTAGTGTCACGACCCTCATTAGACTCTGTTAGTGGCGCGATTTGCAGTTAGTGATCTGTTTCGAAAATGGCCATTTGGAAAATGTAGGGCAATACTGGAAACTTTTGATTTTGAAATCTCCGCAGTCGTCGGAGTTATTTCTTTTTTAGGTAAATTTACAAAGCATTTCACATTGTGTTAAACGTTTTCTTTATATTGGCTTTCTGCAGGCAAAATTGGTGTATTTAGAAAGTCGCGTTTTTGGTTTGTTTGTGTTGCAAAATTTTACTTGCTCAGTAGAGATACACTCCTAAAAATAAAGATTGCAATAACCAGATCAAAATGGTTCTTGGTCTTCGCTGAACATTTGCAAAGAAACATTGAAGAATCTTTGTTTTTAAGAGTGAAAGCATGTCTCATTACGCTTCTTTTACTTTAGTTTTGAATTGAGACAAAATGGGTCAATATAACATTTAAAGAAAAATGAGTTGAATCGTTGTCTAAAAAGTCAAATCAAAATTGTGCCAAACTGCAAGTTTTAAAGCTACAGACGGAGAAAATCTAAATGAAAATCTAAAATCGAGGGGGAAAAAAACATTTTTTAAAGTTGGTTGGAAACAAATATATTTTTATAATGCTGAAAATATTTACAGTCTACAGAGCTGAATACAAACTGCAAGTGAAGTTCTCCTCGGACCCCCCCTCATCAGCTGTGGCGATGTCGGTGTCTCTCTCCAGTCACCCCGCAGTGAGGGACAGGAGTCTGGCTGTCTACCCGTCTCTGCCCGGCGCGCACAGCATCTTCCATCCGCTCAAGTCTCTGGGCCGCATGGTGATCGACGCACAGACAATCATGCCGTTTAACTTCGCCGGGACTCCGTCTTTTTTCAGCCACAACAGCCACCAGACCGCGGTGTTCCACGAACAGATCCTCAACGTGTCCAGCATGCCGTATTTCCAGCATATGCAGCCGTCACAAAGCATGTACCCCAGACATGACAAGCAGAGCACCGGCTCTCCGTCCGAGTTCAGCAGCCCGTCCAGCGGAAAGTCTTCTTCGGCTTCGTCGTCTCCGGTTAAAGCCAGTTTCAGCAGTCTGCAGGCCGCAGATCCATTGCCAGAACACACACACACCTACAGTTTTACAGAGGAAGACCTCTTCACTGTCCTGTACGGATATTCCAAAAAACAAGGGCAAAATGTTGGACATGCGATCTCTGGACTATCATTTCCTCCCAGTACAGGTAGGCCTATATAATAATCATTGGATTTTTTTAGTGCGACGAAGTAATTTTATTGTGCTGAACAAAAAATAAATAAAAAGAAAAGAAAGAAAAAGGAAAACAAATCTGGCAATATGTATTATGTTGCACGCATTGATAATGTGACTTACATATTTTACGTATGTTACGTTGTTACAATTACTATACTTTTCATTATATTTAAATGCCACATTCTTCTAGTTTTTCATGTTTAATTTCCAACATTTTTAACTCATGTTTCTTTAATTAATTAGCTGATCGTCGTCTTCTCCCTGTTGATACCGAAGGATTTGAACTTCCAGAAGGTAAATTAACTTTCTTTCTTTCTTTCTTTCTTTCCTTCCTTCAGAATTTCTAGTCTGAAGTTTACAGCTGGCAATTTTATGAAGTGTGTCTTGAATTTTTCAGGTTTATCGATTCTCCAAACTAATTGTGGAAGCCTTTCCCATTATGGAATATTTGCTGATAAAAGCACAATTCCAAAAGGCACCAGGTTTGGACCGTTTCAGGGCAAACTTGTAAACACAAGTGAGATCAAAACCTATGATGACAACACTCTCATGTGGGAGGTAAATAACAAATGTTAAATAAATAAAATTATAATTTAAATGCAGATTTTGTATAAAACGTCTGCCTGGAACACTTGATTATCCAGTGCCATAATGCATACAGCTATTTACTGATATGAAATAGTTATATTAAATTCCAAACCTTTTTTTTTTCTTCCTATGCTAAGATCTTTGAGAACGGCCGCTTGAGTCACTTTGTGGATGGAAGAGGCGCTCCAGGGAATTGGATGTCCTTGGTGAAGTGCGCGCGCTTCCCCGAGGAGCAGAACCTGATTGCGGTCCAGTGTGAAGGCCAGATACACTATGAGGCCTGCAAAGAGATCCGAGCCGGCCAGGAACTCCTGGTCTGGTACGGAGACTGCTATGTGCAATTCCTGGGTATTCCTCTCACCCTCAAAGATTTTACTGATGACACTGAGCCAACTGAAGGTATGCAAATGTATCACCTCATATAATTCTTTAGATAGAGATTTATAGCTCAATACGTTCTGCTATTTCAGATTATAACGTGTCAGTATTTGCAAATTGCTCACGTCTCCGTGTGTCTTCGTTTCAGATTCTGGAGAGGGTTTCAAGTGTGATCGCTGTGGTAAAGTGTTTGCTTACAAGTACTACAGAGACAAACACTTGAAATACACGCGCTGCGTGGATCAGGGCGACAGTTCGTCTCGTCTGTGTGATGCATAGATCTTTGTAAAAGGTTTTGGATATTTAAAAAGGTGGAAAACCTTGTTATGGGATAGTACTGAATCAATAATAGGCTACTATAAGCGCTTGCTGGTTTTGCCAGTACGGGTTAATGGATGAAACGCCAAATACTAATGCAACAAAACGTGTTTATTCCAATGTAAAATTGGCAAAAATAAATAAATAAAATTGAATACACTTATGCCTTGTTTAATAGAATGCCAGAAAACACTGACAATATAGATATTTAGTTGAATTTGTCTCTGCATATTTGTGGTAAGTTGTTTGGTTTAATAATTAATTTTGTTAATAATTTTTTGTTATACGAAAAAAAAAGTAAGCAAAAGTTGCCTTAAACCCACAAAAAATTCTGTAATTTGTAAATATGCATTAATGCGTAGCATATTAGGCCTATTATTTATATTATATAAATTGTATTAGTATAGTAGTATTGCTGGTGCTAATAATGACAGTAACAAATTTTGTTGCTGTAATTTGTGGTAACCTATATTAAGTTTACTTGATATGATAAGTATAAGTATAAGTGGCTCACAGCAGAACTAGTTAATGAATATAAATCATTCATAACAGTAATAGTTATTGTGCTTATTATTTAGAACAATAAGGCCTATGTCTTTAGCTCAAAATGTGTAATTGTGCATAAGTTTTAAATCCTGCACCTTCTTTGCCATTTTATTCAAATAAAGTATTTTTTTCGTAATAAAGCACATCTGGCTGTGAGTAGTAAGTGATAGTGCTGTGATACTTCAGTAGATGCTTCCTCTGTGATGAAACTCCATGCTCATGCACGCAGTTAATTCCCATTATTCAACTAATGCTGCCGATGACTTTCGTTTTCACAAAGAGCCTCTAAACGGAACCCGTGCCGTTCACACCGTCGCCCGGTTAGGAGCGGTTAACAGTGCGCAGTAGTTAACACATTAGAGACTGTGCTGCATATGAAAGAGAGCTGTGAGAGGAGGCTACAAAGTGTTAAAGTGCAATTCCCAGAGGATGAACCCAGGACTGACCAATGACAGCACAGATCCGGGAAAGGCATCCCCTCTCAAGCTTTCCTACACTCAACCATATGTCTTCAGACCCGACTCAAACTTCACACACGCAAGACCTCTGTCCATCTCTCCTGAGTGAAAGGTTCCCCAAACACAAGAGGAGGATCTCAGGACTTGCACAAGTGGTAAGGACATTTGTAAACAATTTCACTAAATATGTTTGTAGTTTTGATGACAGTAATAACTTATTTGTGTTTTATATTGTATTGCCATTATGGATTTAAGCCCACTCTTCATGTGCAATAACCAGCTGAGGTCAGGAGTCTATGGAGCATGACACCTTTAATGCTTTTTAAAAGAGTTGGAAAGGCTTCATTAATGGTGACCTTTCTTGCTGACCCTCTGTTCTTAAATTGTAGTGTCACGACCCTCATTAGACTCTGTTAGTGGCGCGATTTGCAGTTAGTGATCTGTTTCGAAAATGGCCATTTGGAAAATGTAGGGCAATACTGGAAACTTTTGATTTTGAAATCTCCGCAGTCGTCGGAGTTATTTCTTTTTTAGGTAAATTTACAAAGCATTTCACATTGTGTTAAACGTTTTCTTTATATTGGCTTTCTGCAGGCAAAATTGGTGTATTTAGAAAGTCGCGTTTTTGGTTTGTTTGTGTTGCAAAATTTTACTTGCTCAGTAGAGATACACTCCTAAAAATAAAGATTGCAATAACCAGATCAAAATGGTTCTTGGTCTTCGCTGAACATTTGCAAAGAAACATTGAAGAATCTTTGTTTTTAAGAGTGAAAGCATGTCTCATTACGCTTCTTTTACTTTAGTTTTGAATTGAGACAAAATGGGTCAATATAACATTTAAAGAAAAATGAGTTGAATCGTTGTCTAAAAAGTCAAATCAAAATTGTGCCAAACTGCAAGTTTTAAAGCTACAGACGGAGAAAATCTAAATGAAAATCTAAAATCGAGGGGGAAAAAAACATTTTTTAAAGTTGGTTGGAAACAAATATATTTTTATAATGCTGAAAATATTTACAGTCTACAGAGCTGAATACAAACTGCAAGTGAAGTTCTCCTCGGACCCCCCCTCATCAGCTGTGGCGATGTCGGTGTCTCTCTCCAGTCACCCCGCAGTGAGGGACAGGAGTCTGGCTGTCTACCCGTCTCTGCCCGGCGCGCACAGCATCTTCCATCCGCTCAAGTCTCTGGGCCGCATGGTGATCGACGCACAGACAATCATGCCGTTTAACTTCGCCGGGACTCCGTCTTTTTTCAGCCACAACAGCCACCAGACCGCGGTGTTCCACGAACAGATCCTCAACGTGTCCAGCATGCCGTATTTCCAGCATATGCAGCCGTCACAAAGCATGTACCCCAGACATGACAAGCAGAGCACCGGCTCTCCGTCCGAGTTCAGCAGCCCGTCCAGCGGAAAGTCTTCTTCGGCTTCGTCGTCTCCGGTTAAAGCCAGTTTCAGCAGTCTGCAGGCCGCAGATCCATTGCCAGAACACACACACACCTACAGTTTTACAGAGGAAGACCTCTTCACTGTCCTGTACGGATATTCCAAAAAACAAGGGCAAAATGTTGGACATGCGATCTCTGGACTATCATTTCCTCCCAGTACAGGTAGGCCTATATAATAATCATTGGATTTTTTTAGTGCGACGAAGTAATTTTATTGTGCTGAACAAAAAATAAATAAAAGGAAAAGAAAGAAAAAGGAAAACAAATCTGGCAATATGTATTATGTTGCACGCATTGATAATGTGACTTACATATTTTACGTATGTTACGTTGTTACAATTACTATACTTTTCATTATATTTAAATGCCACATTCTTCTAGTTTTTCATGTTTAATTTCCAACATTTTTAACTCATGTTTCTTTAATTAATTAGCTGATCGTCGTCTTCTCCCTGTTGATACCGAAGGATTTGAACTTCCAGAAGGTAAATTAACTTTCTTTCTTTCTTTCTTTCTTTCCTTCCTTCAGAATTTCTAGTCTGAAGTTTACAGCTGGCAATTTTATGGAGTGTGTCTTGAATTTTTCAGGTTTATCGATTCTCCAAACTAATTGTGGAAGCCTTTCCCATTATGGAATATTTGCTGATAAAAGCACAATTCCAAAAGGCACCAGGTTTGGACCGTTTCAGGGCAAACTTGTAAACACAAGTGAGATCAAAACCTATGATGACAACACTCTCATGTGGGAGGTAAATAACAAATGTTAAATAAATAAAATTATAATTTAAATGCAGATTTTGTATAAAACGTCTGCCTGGAACACTTGATTATCCAGTGCCATAATGCATACAGCTATTTACTGATATGAAATAGTTATATTAAATTCCAAACCTTTTTTTTTTCTTCCTATGCTAAGATCTTTGAGAACGGCCGCTTGAGTCACTTTGTGGATGGAAGAGGCGCTCCAGGGAATTGGATGTCCTTGGTGAAGTGCGCGCGCTTCCCCGAGGAGCAGAACCTGATTGCGGTCCAGTGTGAAGGCCAGATACACTATGAGGCCTGCAAAGAGATCCGAGCCGGCCAGGAACTCCTGGTCTGGTACGGAGACTGCTATGTGCAATTCCTGGGTATTCCTCTCACCCTCAAAGATTTTACTGATGACACTGAGCCAACTGAAGGTATGCAAATGTATCACCTCATATAATTCTTTAGATAGAGATTTATAGCTCAATACGTTCTGCTATTTCAGATTATAACGTGTCAGTATTTGCAAATTGCTCACGTCTCCGTGTGTCTTCGTTTCAGATTCTGGAGAGGGTTTCAAGTGTGATCGCTGTGGTAAAGTGTTTGCTTACAAGTACTACAGAGACAAACACTTGAAATACACGCGCTGCGTGGATCAGGGCGACAGAAAGTTCCCCTGCCACCTCTGCACCAGGTCTTTCGAGAAAAGAGACCGGCTCCGAATCCACATTCTCCATGTGCATGAAAAACACAGACCACATAAGGTAAATATATCTTCTGCAGTCTGATTCATTGAAGACTTTAACGAAAGAACAGCTATGGTGCTGAAAGAACAGCTCCCTTGTAAAAAAAGAAAGAAAAAAAAAGCTGCACAAAACCGAAGCCTAAACAGAAAATATTCAAACATTGCCATTTTACTAATATTCTCACACTCAACGTATTTTGAATTGTTTGGTTAAAGAATAAGTTTGGGTTTATATGCATCTATAAGGGTCTTTCAGCGAAATTGCTGCATTTTTCATTTTGGAACGCTGATTTAACTTAGAATTTTTATTTAAGATTACACGGATTATGATTTTGTTATTTATTTATAGAATTATAGCATAGTTTATTAAGGGGGGGGGGGGCCAAAGTTTTTGTAAAATGTACATTTAAATCTAAATGCTTTTAGCTTTTATTTCCTTTATTCAATCAAATTATAATTTATTGCTATAACAGCCAGGATAAATCGAAAACAAATAAAATTAATTTTATTGTAATTTTTATAGGTTATTTTTGCCAGCCATAACACTGATGTTAGTCGCTTTTTTACACATAATGAGGGACGCAAAAGCACCCTTTTCAAGGAATGACCTGGATGCTTTAATGTTTTGGTAAAACTTTTTGCTATTCCAATACAGCATCTTGAATGTAGTTTGTGTCCCCTTTTCTCCCTCCTAGTGCTCCGTGTGCGGCAAAAGTTTCTCGCAGTCCTCCAGTCTGAACAAACACATGCGCGTGCACTCAGGAGAGCGGCCATACAAATGTGTTTACTGTAACAAGGTGAGTAATGCTCGGTGCTTCATTTTGAGGATTTGACTAATTTCATGGTGCATCTGAGCGCTTATTAGAAGTTTCACTTTTAGAAGACACATGCTAATTAATGGCAGATGCACCTCCAGTGCTTTGTGCATGAGGATTATGCTTTAATTTATGACACTCAAAGAGACAAAAGTTTCTCTGTGGCTTTGTTGCAACTCGTCTCCTTCTATCCTTAAAGGGTGACTT